GTTACGAATTAAAAAATATATATATAATTAAACAATATATATATATATATATATATATATATATATTCTCAGCATACATGTATCATATATTATCTGTTTAGTAATCTATTTATAGATCGATTGACAGACAGCTAGATAGATAAATCACATTTGTTGTATTATGATAGCTGGATGTCAAGATTATATATTCATATATAATGAATTGTTTAAGTATATATCTATTTTTATTTGCAACTCTTGTTGCCCAACAGTCTATATATCCCTCTTTCCTGGCGTGCCTGCTCGGTCGTTGTGACTCGCTATCTATGCGAATGATTGAGACCCAGCGACCAAACCATTTAACCCCTTTACTATCTGTTAGTGTGCACATCTTTCTTTCATTCTATTCATTGCATGTCGCTATTTACATCGATTCTCGGTGACACTTTATCTGGATCAACTTCCTAACCCGAGTGTTATCGCCACTGCGTTCTAGACGGTGTCGTGGCGTTAATTCAGTTTTCGCGACACTGATGGCCAGCTCTTCTTCCGATAATGCTGGCCAGTTCCAAAAGGTGTCTACACAATCTGACTGGTTGTCTGTCCGGTAGTCTGCCCGAGGGTGCTACGGACCGCTTCAAATGAATAAAAACCCCTTCAAAGAAACAAAAAGCCTAGACTGTCTTTTGGCGACCCTGCACCGAAGATTGTTTATATTTTGCAGATTTCATTTCAAGCCACAGACCTGCAAAGTTTTGCTTTGCTGACCTGGGCCCGGTGAGTCAAAGGGAAACGTAATCGAGGCACAATGGCCAAACATCAGCAACCTCCCGACCGGGCGACTTGCCTGCTTCGCTGTCACTTCAGCGCACTACTTGCGTCTACTCATGAGTAGCCACTGTTGCTATCGAGAGTCCATAAGAGGGTTTTCATCACTCTACTGACATAACATTATTGTGGAGACATCCATTTCGTAAACAGGTTCGTAGATTGATCTAACCAGAGTATGATTAAATCTCTTCACCAAGCACTTTGATGTGAAATTGGTCCCCTTAGCAATTCATCGAAAATCGCTTTTTCTTCGTGTATACAACATTGTTGAGTCAGGTAGCAACAAACAAGCAGTCCTCCAAAATAGGTGAAAAAATGTCTACCTTTGGACCGGGTCGTGAATGGAATAAAATGAACTCGAAATGGAAGAAAGCTCAACAATGATGAAACAAAGGACTCCGCGAAACCCAACTTTCATTTACAGAAACGACCGTGTCTATCGAGGAAAGATAGGCTCCGATTAATCCCACAATGCTCTCCTATCAACGGGTCTATTCCCGTCGCTTAGCGACTCCTCCTGCCACTTGTCCGTCTACCTCTGCCGGAGCATATCCATCAGGCACACACATTTCCCATTCTATTTCACACACTCGTTCCTTCCCCAACACTCGTTGTTATCATCTATAATTACGCTGAGCCGTGAATTCTCTGTATCACACAAAAGTGTGTCTCTCATACCATCCTAGCTTGTGCCCCATTTTGGTTATGTTTTCAGCCAGGTCCGATTTCGAGAAGCGTATTCCTTCGCAGGCGGTTTCCTGTTCTGATGCCCCATTAAGTTTTAAAATGGGCTTGGTTTAATGTATTGGTAACGTTGTCCTTGGAGATCGTCACCGGCTCTGACGGCGTCTGTCACTGTGTAATCGGTGTGGCGAGTGTTTGCTTGCATCAGTCAATCGTTCCGACTGCAAGATTGTCTGCTAATAGCAATTTAGAAGGTGACAGTCGATGCAAAACTATAGAAGAAGCAGCAAATATCCAAGTCTCTTTTATATCTATTAATTGTCAAATCACAGCTATTTAAAATTGTAGAAATGAACATTGAAAAACATGCTAAGCTGGAAAAGAAGACATAGTGAATAATAAGCATTAAGTCAGTCTAGTTTGCTCAGAAAAATTTAAGAAAATAATTGGGCCCCACGATTCGTTTGGATCTGACTCAACCTTGCCTTGCAAAATGCCTTCTTATCCGGGCTCGATCGCGCTTTCGCCCTCTCCTCACCGTACCCTCAGCAACTCTATTGAGAATCATAACTTAGATTTAAGACTCTGGAGAAGTGGGGGTCTCATGTTACCGCGGGTGTCACTGGGTCGTACAGCATGTATGGCTTTCAAGATAGGCCATGTCCCTGCCAAATCACATTTAATAAGCACTGTTGATGATGCAAATATGCATACTTAAAATCGACGACGTCACATCCAAGAGGTACTGATAGTTTCGGGACGAACCCACCGAATGTAAGTAAAGTTATGGCTTGTAAGTGAAAATGTATGTTTGCCTGATCAAAAATAGAACTATAAATGTGATCTCGTTCATGCTTGATTGGCTTGATTGTCATATCAATTCAGTGGCCGGTTTTTTTGCGTTGATAGTAAATGTACCCGCATTAACTGTACTATTGTAATGAAGTTCATTGTTGCCATGTGTCTTGAGGGGAGGTTCTCATCTTCAGCCCGGAATTCGTCTCGTCGTTTCATCTACAGACCCTGCGGGACAAGGGACAAACATATTACTAACTGCAATGGAAAGCATCTGAGCCAAATTCAACATGAAAATCCCAAAAAAGGATGTGAGTTTTGCGAAACGCTTTCGGCTCTCATCATCATCAGGAAGTAATGACTTTGACACCCAATCCACACGCCGAAGGTTCGAATCCCGGCTGGGGTGATGAGGAAACGATTTGGTCAGATTGAAGAAACAAACCAGACTGGAGAAGGACGACATTTTAGTGAAGTGAGAGCAAATGCAACATTCGTCGTGAGCAGAGTCACCATCAGTACAAAATGAAAGCAATTTGAAAATGGTACGCCTCAACAACAATCGGCCTTGAAGCAAAAAATTTTAGAATCTCTTTGATAGGACTTTCAACCCGGCCATAAAGAGACTCATCAAATCTTCTCGGTTGCTCCCTAACTCATACGCTTATGCCCATCTCTGGCATCCGGAAGAGCCTGCCGGAGCTCATGGAACAGTCTTTTTGGATCCCCATTTGAATGCGGCTTCATTTTGCTCACTATTTCTCCAGACACGCAAAAAACCCTGTCTCCGTTGACTTCAATTTGTCATTAATTTCTCATTCTCTTCTCCCAAAACTGACACTTTTTTGGGAGTGCACCCCCTTAATAGGTGCGCATGTGCGTCCGTCTGTCTGTCTGTCTGTCTACATAGGTGCCTGTTGCACCTACGCTGGGCTCGGTTCATGTCGGTAGGAAAAAGAGTCATGTGGAAAGACCTACAAGAAGTATGAATGCGATACAAAAAATAGCAGGTGTCCATTATGTGTGAGTTATGGAATTGTATTTATTCTTAATTATGAGGATTGTAGCCGAACCTTCCAGAGTTGTCAGGTAAGGTTAGACTGTAAATACAATACACACGCAGACACAATGCGCACACCAACAGATACGTGCTGCCAGCTAAGTTGAGGTAATGTGAAACTGTTGTAGGTCGTTTGCGCAAAGCTGGACTTTGAAGACTCTTGCCGTCAGCAGCGCCCGCATGACGATGCTATTCTGCGCATGCTCAACTCTGGAAGGTGGCAGGAAGAGAATCGACGGATGGAATGGAAGGATCTCCGGCCTCAAGATACGAAAGAAAAGGGTGGGTGCACAAGGACAAGCCTCGTCGTCATGGCCGGAGGCTGGACTACATGAAACAGCTGAGCGGCGTCTCGTGTGCCGTTTTGTTGTACTCGGCACGCTCCTCCTCGACCACCATCTCGATGGTCTTCGGCGGCTGCGTGGAGAGGAGCATTATGAGACCGGAGAAAAAGATGACCATCAGGTAAAACCAGAAGAAGAAACGGTCCAGCACAAGCGCCACATAGCGCCACTCGTTGGTCCGCTTGTTCGCCTTGTCCTTGTCGCCGATTTTCGCCATCAGGTTGCCTAGCGCCTGTTTGATCTCGGACAGGTTGGTCTCCAACTCGACAGCCGACCGCCGCGTCAGGCTGCAGCCGAAGCTCTTGTCATTTACTAATTTAAGTGTTGTAAGATAAAAATTATTACAATATATGATAAAGGCAAATTAATTTAACGTAATTGCAAACAAGGTTGTAATGCTTCTATTAGTCAAAGATGCTTTTAACAATACAGCTTTTTTTAAAAACTGATGATGTCCGTCATATGACGGACGAAAGCTTAGCACTTTTTCATCGGAATCGAAGGAGATTGTCTCGGAAACAGCGTCAACATGAATGTTCCAGTAAAGCCACTCGACAGTTGGTCAAGAGGAATCCGCCGTCGTCTTCTGGTGGGACCGACCTTCGAATCTCTTCACGCAACTCTTTCACTCGAAATGGAAGTAAGCTCAACAATTATGAAACAAGACATTGC